CCAACTCCATGACTTCAAAGCAACTCGACCCTTCTTGACCCTTTTCTGTGTTGAGAGGGGCTTGACTAGGAAATATATCCTTCCCCATCCATGCATCCCATTACAGTCATCTATCAGACTTCCTGTCTTCCCCTTCTTCTGCCCTCGGGGTCCTTGCCTACCTGTCTATCACTCATGTAGATGTCAGTCAGCCTGTCCATCAATCACAGAGCCATCAGTTGTCCTGTGCTGGTGCCACCCCCACAGCACCATCATTCATCAAACCATCATTAACCCCAGCCAAGGGCACCCACCAGCACTGGGAATGCTGTGCTCAGCTGATGTCCCTTCTTGTCCTCTTGCAGTTGCTCCCAAGGGCCCGAAGATCACGATGACCCCGACGAGAGCTCGCGTCGGAGACACCGTGCGGATCTTGGTGCAGGGATTCCAGGTCAGCGTTCCCATCTATCCCAATCCCTGCAGAGGTAATGTTGTGCCAATGTACAGCGTGGCACCCATGCTAGAAATATTTGGGGTTGGTGGCCTTGGGTTGCACCATGGTACCTACATTAGAACAGGTTGCCCAGAGCAGCTGTAGCTGCTCCATCCCTGGGAGTTTTCCAGGCCAGGTTGGATGGGGCTTCAGCAACCTGGGCTAGTGGAAGGTGTCCCTGCCCATGGCAGGGAGTGGAATGAAATGCCATTTAAGGTCCCTTCAACCCAACCCATCCTGTGATTCTGTGATTTTTGCTGTACCCCACCCTTGCTTCAGGCACAAGACAGGCTTTGCTCCCTCCCTACACTCATCTCACCTACCCATCTCCCTGCAGAATGAAGTCTTCCCCGAGCCCCTCTTCACCTGGACACGAGTGGGGAGTCGGCTCCTCGACGGCAGTGCCGAGCACGATGGCAAGGAGCTGGTTCTGGAGCGTGTGCCAGCCGAGCTCAACGGCTCCATGTATCGCTGCACTGCCCAGAACCCCCTGGGCTCCACCGACACCCACACCCGGCTCATCGTTTTCGGTACGGCAGCACTGTGGGGTCACCCTTCCCTCCACAAACCTCCCTCATCTCCTCCCCCAATTTAACTGTCTCTCTCTGCTATTTCTTTCCCATTAGAAAACCCAAATATTCCCAGAGGACCAGAAGACTCCAACGGTGAGTGATGGTGGTACTAGTATTTCAATGCAAAACATCCAGAGAGAGAAGCACAATGCAGAGAGGATCTCTCCTTCCACTGCCCAAAGCTCTTGCCTCATTTCAAGCCCTTTGCCATCTCCCCTTGCCTCATCCCAAGTCCTTGAGTATCTCACCTTGCCTCATCTCAAGTCTTTGGCCAACTGTTGCCTTGCCCCATGCCCATGGCCATCTCATCTTACGTGAAGCCCTTGGCCATCTCTCCTTGCCTTGCCCCATGCCCTTGGCCATCTCCCCTTGACTTACTCTAAGGCCTTGGCCATCTCTCCTTGCATCACCTCAAATCCTTGAGCATCTCACCTTGTCTCACCTCAAGTCTTTGGCCAACTCTCCTTGCCTTGTCCCAAGACCTTGACCATCTCCCCTTATCTCACCCCAAATCCTTCACCTTATGTGAAGACTTTGGCCACCTCTCCTTGCCTTGCCCATGCCCTCACCCTTAGCATCAGGGATGTCCTTGCACCAAAAGAGACCCTGCAGATGTTCCCCACACCACCCCTGACCTGCTGCCCACTCCACACAACCTCAATAGCAAGTTTAGGTGGGGGATTCCCCCCTCAAAAAGTGACTCTATCCTGTTTTGAACCCAATGAGACACAGCTCTGTGAACTTCCCATCCCTTTTCTCCTCCTCTCCAGGTTCACTTACCAGCCACTGCGGCTTCAGATTAGTTTTGGCTCTCACCCTAACAGTGATCCTGGAGCTAACGTGAAGCTTCACCTGCCTCTTCCTCCTCCTCTTCCTCCATCCGGCTCCACCTGGCATCGACACCTCTGTCAGTCGGTTCTCTTGCTCTTTTTTTTTCTATACTATTTACAGTCTCGGTCTCTTTCTGTCTGTGTCTTGGCTTCCTCAGACAATTTAATTAAAAGGAAAAAGAAAAAACCTCCCCTGGTAGAAGATTGTGATTAATGTTTTACCTTGTGCTGAGGTTTCCAGCACTGTCTGGGGGTACCCAGAGGCTTTGTGAGGTCTTGGAGAGGGTTGTGGGGGGGGGATGTCTGCTGCAAGGACCATATTTCCCATGGAAAAATCCAGTGACACCATTCCCACTGCACCAAGCTGCTTCAGGGTAAGGACCTGCATATGTCCCCAGCATGAGGGACATTGGGGACAAGCCCTACTGAGCCAGCACACATGTAGATGGCAGCGCTGGGAGCCTAAAAGCTGTGGATCACTGGCCTTATCCGAACCTCCAGTGGGGCAAATTGGCTTTGCTGGAAGACAGGTGCTGTGCACAGCACTTGTCCTGGGCTGGATGGTGAATCACTAGTGACAGGCAGCTCCCAACCCAAAATGTCAGCGCTCACACATGAGCGGGCAGCGCGTCCCGTCGGGCAGCTCTGGCATGGAGGCACCAGCCTGCACCAACCAAGGTCTGTGCCACCCTCCCCATCCCTCTTGGCTAAGTGTCTCCATGGAAACAGCTAATGGTCTAGCACGGCCAGATCCTGGCCATTCCTTTGGTGTCCCGTCCCAGTATGGCACTAATCCTGCTGTAGGATGGCTCTTGGCAAGAAGCAGGTGATTTTGCTCCATTCCTGCCCAGTGCTGGAGGATGGTTTTCCTAGCTGTTGGTTTTCCCAGCTGCTTTCCCTCCCCATGGTACCCTGAGAGCATCCAGCTGTGCTCCAGAATCTCTGGGGATTGGATGCAGGGGGGGAAAATATCCCAAGGACAGAGCTCTCCTCTGCCTTCTCCTCTGGGAACTCTTAATCCAAGAGGATTAGCCAGCAGCCATGTGGTGCTTCATCTTTCCAAGGCCCTGGACAAGTGCTAAGCATCATTATTACTATTATGATTAATTATTATTAAGCAGATTCCAGCCCTGCCATGGTCCATTGCCAACCTCCTGCGAGTGATTTCCCGACCTCGGAGGAGCCAAACAAACACACAGCAGCTCAGGAGCTCCTGCCCAACCACAAAAGCCCACAGGTTTAGGATTTGGACTGGAAGCAACACAGGGATGGATTGGGACTGGCTGGGATGTGGGAGGATCAGCAGCTCCACTTTCATCCCAAAGGAACAGCATATCCCTTTGGACCTGCTTCTTCTCCAACTGCTCCCACTGTTTCAACTCACCTCCCTGGATGAGAAGACAGTCTTCCTTTTTTTAAAGGAACCTTCATGTTTTTAGGGAATTCTCCATGACTCAGTTTACCCTGAGCAAGCAGGAGAGCCCCACCACCACAGCACGGATGCATCTCGCCCTCCTCACTGGATTGGAGATGCTCCAGGGGCCTCATCCCTACGTGATTAAACAACCATTAGGCCTCCTCGCTTCAAAAATGAGGATTTACAGATGCCCAAACCTCCATTTAAATGCAAATGTGGCTGTTTTAGCCCGGAACCATGGAAATGAGGAGCATCACAGCAGCAGTGCCACCGTGTCCAGCTCTGCTTGGTGCCACCTCGGGAGTAATGTGATGTCCCCATCCAGCATCTGGGAGAGGAACGATGGGCTCAGTGCTCCTGCATGCCAAGTCCAACCCTCTATGTGCATTCAGGATGCTTAGCTCTTCCCCCAAGGATGGAAATGCTTTTTCCCCAGGCATGGATGGATCAGCCTATAGGTTGGGATCTTAGCACCAGCACAGCCAAAGCGATCAGTGAGGGGGTTTGGAAGCCTCTCCTCATTTTGGGCAGAGGTGCTGCCTCCTTTCCCAAATTCCCCCCAAATTGAGGAATATAAAGGGATGCCATCCCAGCAAAAAAACCTCCACACCATGCTGGACCTTGCCTTCACCTCCTGCCCCATCTCATTCTTCTTCCACTGCCTTCCAGCCCTACCTACCCCATTCCCATCCTCGTTTCCTCCAGGTAATTATGAAGGACATCAATTAAATCCCCAGTTCCCCCCCACCACACACCCCCTTGTTTGAGGACCTAGCAGTGAATAATGCAGGAGGCTGGAGGGGAAAAAGAGCTGCTCAGGTTGTTTCATTATTGATGAGAGATGACAGATCCGTGGCTGACAACCTACTGAAGAGATATGATTAGCCTGTAAAAAATTAAGCGAACTTCTTAGGGCTGACGCGAGCTGAAAACCCCAAGGAGCAGCGTTATCGATGTTCCCTAATTTCAGGGGACTTTGAAAAGGTTTTAGCAAAATTTGGAAGAGATAATTACATTCAATTAGAGTCACAAGTGCTGAGACGTCACTGCTGTATCTCCTGTTCCCCTACACCACCGATCAGCCTTACCACAGGCATAGATAAATAGGTATTTATATGTCAGACATGCATTTTTTTCCATGGATTCTTTAGGATATTAGGGTGTGGGACATAAAATCAGGGATGCTGTGGCTCAGAAGGGTTGGGAAAGTCAGTGGGAGCTTTGCTCAGTGCTTCCCCTGCCTCCCCCACCTCATTATCGGGCACGGCTGCTGCTGGGGTTGGGTTCACAGGGCTGCCAAGCACATGTATAATTCATACTTCCCAGCTCACAAATGCCAGGATCTTTGTAGATCCACCTGCAGAATAAAAACCATGGCAGGGAGAGATAAAGAAACCAGAGGGTCATGGCTGTGCACGGGTGGTCAGACCCTTTACCAATTAGCCGAGCCCTGAAACACGTGCCCAGACTCAATACATGTTCCTGTTACCCTCAGCTTCAGAACCTACTGGGTTTACAGGCAGGAGTGATATCCTTTTCCACAGACCAACCCCCCCCCAGTGATAGATTATGGGGGCACTTGCCAAATAGGATGGTAGAGAGCAGCTGGGTGGGTTTGGCTGGTGCTGCCTTGACCTCTGGCATGAGCTCAAGAAGCATCCAAGGGATGCATCACATCACCCCAGCTCCAAAGTCCAGCTCTGAATCTAAATATCCTCTTCCCCCCAACCTCTTTGTTATGGCATTGCTTGGTACAAGGTGACAATGTTCCCAACATTCTCCTAAAGCCACTGTTGTGCTCTCCCTGTTCACAGCAGGGATGCACACAGGGGTCTCTGGGTACCAAACCAGCATGGGGACGTTACCCCTCTGCTTCCTTTCTGTCCTCTTTTTACATATATGAATATTATGCTATTTAACACATCATCCTCCACCTAAGGTGCATCCCTGGCAGGCCTGATGTCAGCTATACAATCCCATCCCCTGTAGCACCAGCACATTCCCCATGTGAAACCATCCCACAAAATTCAGCATCTCAGCAGTGGCAGGGGAACATCTTCACACTCACAGGTGCTGGGGCTGGTGGAGAATGTGCCCCAAGGACACTCAGATGCTCCTCCTTATTTCAAAAGGCAGTGCCTGACCTCATGCAGTGGCTGGTGAGGATCAGCTGCTCCACAGGAGGTGGTTTGGAAGGCTGAGGGCACAGATGTGACCCATGCAAGACCTCCTCCCACCACACCTACCCATGACCCATGCAGCTGAGACACAGCACACCTCATACAAGGAGTGGCTTTAGCATCACCTGGGTTCATTCCTCAAGCAAATCCCACTGGACTGGGGCTGAGTTAGTGGACAGTGAGTCCCAGCATGCACACAGGAGCTTCCACCCACCCCCACCCACATTTACTGCCTTGTTTTGTTATGCATCTCTCAGCCTGTGAGATGTTCCCCTCAGGGAAAAGGAAATTAATGTTATCCCTTTGAATTCCACTCACTTACTGGTGTTAGGGTGGTGAGAGATGCCATTCCCCACACCCCCTCCTTTTCCTCCACTCACCACGGTCCGAGCATTGGGACCAGCTGCCTTGGGACAGCAATTCCCATAAATCTTTGAAATTCAGACCAGGACCAGATCCATCACCATCTTTCAAGGAGGGGAAAGAAGCAAACGCAGCACTGTGTGGCATCCTCTGTGCCTCAGTTTCCTCACAGTGCCTCCAATCCCTATGGACATCCCACACACATCTCTTCCATCCCTTCCCATCCCATATTTCTCCCTGGTTCCAATGCTTTTATTTGCTTGCCTTAGTTCATACCCCTCCCTGTGCACATGGATGCAGGTTGCTGACCACAACAGCCACCAGCTGCAGTTTAACTTCTGCCTTTATTTTCTCTTCAATGCCAGGTTTTTCCCCCTCCCAAAGCCCCCAGCTTCTTTTCTACCAGCTCTTAATTCCCCTGCCACTTCCACGCTGGCCTCTAAGAGACCCCAGAAGCTTTCAGGCTATTTCCCGTCACCCTTCGTTAGCTACCGTGCCGCAAACGAAGGCTACTGAATTAGTCACCCGTTTGTGCCGTGGAGCAGCTGCTCAGCCTCAACCCAAAGGTCTCCCTAGCTCCAGGTTGCTACTCTCTCCCTTCCCTGTGTCTATGCCGAGGGATGAGAAACCTTTTGCGGCCGAAACTTTGCCCCCAACAACAACTTTCTCCTTCCGTTACATGAGCCTTTGTAAATAGCAACAGAAAGGAGGAGGCGGCACCTGGGGCTGCTTCAAGGAGATATTTTTCCTCCCTCTGTGCTTCTTTTCGCTGTTCCCTGAGGCTCTCTGTTTCCCAGGCTAATAAAGCGGCTCTGTGCCGCCCGCCCTGGGCTGTACCTTTCCCTGGAGCCCAGCCCAGCCCAAACATGCAAAGCTCGTCCGGAAAGCTCCTGCCAAGCTTCACCAGCTCAAAGTCACCTTGCCCCAAACCTTCAGCTCCACACTTCGGCCTCACTCGGCAATCATTAATCGGCTTCTCTGCATTCCCGGCATGGAAAAATGCCCCAGCGGGTAACCCTGTCCTGGCAGTCCGACATGCAGCTGGCTGGGAAGCTGGTCCTCTCCGCCGCCGCTCTGCTCCTTCTCACTTTGGCATACAGGTTTTACAGGACTCGCTCGAGTGCCGGGGGCAAAATCCCACTGGCTGATGCGGGAGAGCAGAGGGAAAACGCATCCCGGGATGGGGATGAGGTTGGGGATGGGGATGAGGGGCACGGGGTGCGGCGGAGGAAGGGATGTGGTGAGGAGGTGAGGGATGGTGAGGATGCACAATTCCGTGGTGGGACGCGACACGCGACTCTCCGGGGGGATCGAAGCCTGCCAAGGGGTGAGGAGGAGAAGGAGGAAGAGGAAGGAGAGGAGGTGGTTTCTGAGCTGGGGGTGAGGCACAGGAGAGTCCTGCTTGGTCCAGCCAGGAGGGAAAGTGAGCTGGGAAGCAAGCTGGGCTGTAAATTGGGAATTGAGTCAGAAAGCAAGCCAGGAATTGAGCCAGGAAGCAAGTTGGGAAACGAGCTACGAAATGAGTTGGGAAGTGAACTGGCAAGTGAGCCAGGAGGCAAGCTGGGATGTAAGTCAGGAAACAAGCTGGGAATCAAGCTGGGAAGTGAGCTGAGAAGCAAGTCAGGAAGCAAGCCAGAAAGCAAGTTGGTGGTAAGCAAGCTGGGAAATGAGTCGGGAAGTGAGCTGGCAAGCAAGCCAGGAATCAAGCTGGGAAATAAGTCAGGAAGCAAGCAAGGAATTGAACTGGGATGTCGTCTGGGAAGTGAGCAAGGAAGCAACATAGAAAGCAAGCTAGGAAATGAGCTGGGAAGTAGGCCAGAAAGCAAACTGGGAAGCAAAGTAGGAAATGAATCAGGAATTGCGTCGGCAAGCGAACCAGGAGGCAAGCTGGGAAGTGAGCTGGGAAATGAACTGGGAAGTGAGCTGAGTTCTTATGGCCTTGGGGATGTGGCTGAAACACGAAGAAGCCATGGGGAGAAGGGCACACTGACCCCCAAGACTGGGCTATCCCCAGGGATTGCTAATGCCCAGATAGCAGGTAATGGACATGCCCAGAAGACAGAGCAGGGTTTGGCTGGTGGAAGCACAAGTAGGAAAGCCAAGGGGCACAGAGGAGCAATCCAGACTCTCAATGTCACCTCGAACCTGGGGCTACTGATGACTGCAAGCAATGAGAGGTCAGATACCTCCTACTCTTTCTCCTCGGTTGCAAAGATTCAAGTGGAGGAGAACTACATCAGCAAGCAGCAAGAGAAGGATGGGGCCAAGCAGACAGTCCCTGGCCTCAAAGGCAAAGTCTACGACTACTATGTCCAGTCCATCTCCAAGTCGGTGTTGAAGAGGACACGTCTCCCTTACATCCCTCCAGCCACGTCCCGGCGCCGCAGCTCAGAGCAGCTCAATGAAGAGCTGCAGAGCTTTGCAACCCAGAAAGAGAACCCAACTTTGGCAACATGTGATCCCACCATCTCCTCCACAGTTCCACCACCTACAAGGAGCTTGGAGACCTCTCCTGAGCCACCATCTCCTGGCCACAAGGACAGCATCCTCCAGATTGCTGACAGCCCCCAACTCCAGCTGCCCATGGAGGGGTTTGGGGTAACATCTCCACCTAGAACACCACCTACAAGCCCCCAACCAGGATTGGTGGCTAATCGTGACCTCTTCCAAAAGCCACCACCCACCCACCTGGACCTGGGGAACTGCTATGAGGTCCTCTGCACAGCCAAGGCACAGAAGCTCAGCCATCTCCGAGAGGCTGCCTACAAGGTGATGAGTGACAACTACCTGCAGGTGCTGAGGACACCTTCCATCTACGGCCGCCTCAACGCCGGTGAGAGGGAGCTCATCCTGCGGCAGAGGATGAAGGGGAAGATGTACATGGTCGTGGCAGATGTCAACGTGCAGGAGCCTGGACTCCACACTGGCCATCTCTGCTACTATGATGAAGGAGGTGACTCCTGGCATCACCTCTGTCACATGCCACCAGAGGTGGTCTCTCGGGGATGTGCCATGTGCAGCATGTTCAACTATCTCTTCGTCGTGGCTGGCTGTGAGGGCAAGGGCCGGATACAGAGACCCTCCAACCGTGTCTTCTGCTACGACCCACTGACCAACATCTGGAGGGAGATATCTCCCCTGAACCAAGCCCGGCCACACTGCAAGCTCATAGCCTTGGATGGCCACCTCTATGCCATCGGTGGCGAGTGCCTCTACACGGTGGAGCGCTACGACCCCCGGCAGGATCGCTGGACCTTCACTGCTCCTCTACCCCACGACACATTCGCGGTGGCCCACACAGCCACAGTGTGTGATGGGGAGATCTACGTGACAGGAGGCACCTTGCGCTATGTGCTGCTGCGCTACGACGCTCGCTTGGACAGCTGGAGGGCCAGCCCAGCCATCGGCAGCAAGGACAGGACAGCTGAGATGGTGAGCACCAACGGCTTCATCTACCGCTTTGACCTCCACCGCAGCACCGGCATCAGCGTCTACCGCTGCAGCGCCAAGGCCAAGCTGTGGTATGAGTGTGCCACCTACACCCTGCCTGACGTGTCTGGTTTCCAGTGCACCGTGCTGGGCAGTCTGGTTCACTGCATTGGTCGGCACTTCCACATTCGCTTCTTGGCTGACCACATCTCGCCACGCTTTGGGACCAAGGAGCTGCAGCCGTTCCCCTCGCCCCACGGCAGGCTCCTCCCCCTCCCAGCTGCTCTGGTGCTGCCAGAGGGAGGAACAGTGCAAACACAGGTTTGAGGGATCTATGGTTTGGTCTCAAGTGGTTCAGATATGACATGATGGTGAAAGTTGATAGAAGAAACCACCAGCCCACATTGCATCACGCAGCATTGGACCGGAGCTACGTAATCCATACTTGACATCCCGCAGGGATCCTCCCAGAACCCGTGATTGAGGAAGGAAAGAAACTGCCCTTGGATACTGCCAGTAAATCCAGCCTTGAAGACACAAGGAAGAGCAAGACAGGAGCGGGGTGGACTTATTTGCTTAGAGGTATTTAAACATAGGTGTGACTGCTCAGATGCAAATAACCCACAGCTCACTGCAGGCTCCCAGCTGTCCACTACCTGATAAGTAGCTGCTTTACACACTGGGAATTTAATATTGACTTAGACACTCAATACACGTGGGATTTTGGGGTGGAGGAACACAGCAGGGAGGCTGGGTCTCAAGGGTGGTATCACCCAGAGGGAGGCTGGGTCTCAAGGGTGGTATCACCCAAAGGTTAGCCCCATCAGCATCAAGCCAACATTGAGCCTTCAGGCTTGATCACACACATCCTCCTGGGGCTGGAGGGTGCACTGCTCCTACCAGTGCCTTGTTAGCTATCTCTTACCTCCTTCTCAGCACAGAATTATATATATATCTATCTATATGTCTATCTATTTATATGCACAGGATGTAAATAGGCAGCATGGATTTATAGCCAGCTGGTCTTAAATGAAATTAAAGAGAACATTTGGTAAAATTAACCACGGGCTACTGTTGCACATCATTTCGAGCCGTAGCGAAGCCTAATGGGAACAAAGAGGCCAATGCATGTTTTACATCACTAATTACTGCACAAGCAACATCTCTGAGGAGGCAACCAGAAGCAAACAAGGGCCCTGGATGTGAGCAGACAGTGTTTCATCACCTTTTTCCCAGGTTTCCCTGACCTTACTCTGCTGTCTCCATGTCCTGCCAAAAGTCTACTTTGGGTAATTGCATTTTCTTCCCCTCAAAGAGCTTGTCATCAGTCATCTGTCAGTCCCAGATGGACACAACCAGCTCCCAGACAGACAAAACCTTCCCACACCTGCCTCCTCAGCAGCAGCAGGTCATGAGCATGAAGTCATGAATGTGTGTAAAGCACTTGCAGATAGGAGATGGTGCTGGAGCAGCTCATGGTATCGCCATTTATCACAGAATCCCAGACTGGTTTAGGTTGGAAGGGACTTTAATACCTCATTCCAACCCATGGGCAGGGACACCTTCCACTAGCCCAGGTTACTCCAAGCCTCATCCAGCCTGGCTTTGAACACTTTCAGGGATGGGGCAGCCACAGCTTCTCTGGACAATTTATGCCTTGCTGCTCATGGTGGTTTAGGAGAGCTTAGGTTAATGTTCTCTTAAAGTGCTCCCAGAAATATTTACTACTTCGCTCCGTCACTGCCTGCAGGTCTTGTGTTCCTGACTTCAAGGGCTTCGTACGAAGGTCAGTGGCATCCACCCATGTTAGCAAACTGTATGAGGCTGTGCTAATTAACCTGCCTGAGGTTTGCTCATTAGCTGTTGCACACTGTTTCTGCTGATGGAGGGTGGGTGGAGAAGCTAAAGCTTCCAGTGTCCAGCTTCTTGCACCCACGCTGTGACCACCTCTTCCAACCCCAGGAGGACCACTCATCACTGATAGGCCACTACTGAAGCCTCCCGTGTCCAGCACGTCTCTATTTTGGGATGTTTGGGCTGATAAACCTTATGAGTCAAAAAAACCTCCTTATTTTTGTTCTTTAGTTCCCTCCAGAGCCAGTGCTCAGAGCAGCAGCATGGTGGGCTCACACGTGCTCCAACACGTTCCTACTTCTCCCATGGAAAAACCCAGGTACCTTCTGCTTCACCAGAGCAGCCCAATGCATTTGCAGCCTGCAAAACCCTCTTGTCCCCATCAGCATCCCAGATTTGTGCCCTTCAGCACCCCTGTCGGCACAGATTGGGCACTGGGGAGCGGAGGAGGTGCTGGCTGGGTGGGAACTGGGCAGCTGGAGCTCTTCCAGGTGCCAGCTTATGTTTTTCAGCCCCAGAAAAGCTTTCCCAGGATCCTGCCCTTCTCACAGTGCCTCTTTGCTTCCGTTTAATATTTCACCTTCCCGTTAACTCCTTGTTGCCAGGCTGTAACCTCAAACCCAGAGGCTTTTCCTCATTCCCCAGCACAGCAGTGAGCGATGAATAACAACAACAGAGGGTGAGGAGCTCTCCCCCCTCTCCTGCACTCTCCAATATTAACATGATTCGCCTGGGGAGGCATTTGAGAGATTAAAAATGCTTGGGGACATCCCGTGCTTGTTCTACAGGGAAGGACAACCAGGTTTGGAGCAAAAAGCATACAGCAAATCCTGTGGTCGGTGGGGAGATGACTTGTGGTTGACAGTGAAATGACTTGTGGTTGACAGTGAAGTGACTTTTGGCTGAGGTGAAGGGAAAGGAAAGGGGAAAGGACAAATGCAAACTGATACTCAGACCTGCATGGTTTGTTTTCGGCTCCCATTACCAGGGCAGGGGAGGAGCCTTTGAAGGGCTGGCAGGTGTGGTGGCAATGGTGGTGTCACCAGATAACTCCTGTCACCACCACCAGATGCCAGGTGTTGATTTCCAGCTGTGCTGACACCCACCTCTGTGCTTCTGCTCATGGACAGCAGCTTCCAACCCTGGATTCATAGCTCAGGATACCATGAGCCCATCGAGCAGTTGCAGTGCAGCTTGGACATCAGGGTATTATTTATTTTCATTGATTGGGTTGGAAAAGCTGCCACAATTTACAGGGGAAAGGGTTGGGAGGCACGTGGTGCATCCTAATAAACTCCACAGCCTCCCCCATGGAGCTACAAACCACCCTGAGTGCATTCAAGGAAGGGTAAATAGAATCATCAGGGTTGGAGGAGACCTCTAAGATAATCAAGTCCAACCATTAATCTGTCACTGCTGGAACCCCTAAACCATATCCTCCAGTGCCAGATCCAGATGCCTCTTAAACACCTCCAGGGATGATGACTCTACCACCTCCCTGGGCAATTCCCTATTCCAGTGCCTGAATTACTTAGAGGTCGTAATAAAATCAGACTTCTAGAGGTTGGAATGGAGCTTGGAGATGATCCAGCCCCAACTCCCTGCCCTGGGCAGGGACACCTCCCACCAGAGCAGGTTGCTCAAATCTTTAGCCAACCTGGCTTTGAACACTGCCAGGGTTGGGGCATCCTTGACTTCCCTGGGCAACCTGTTCCAGTGTCTCACCAATAGATCCAGCCTGGATGGGGATTTATCTGGAAGCTCCTGCTCTTGGGAGCCTCCCCTGCTGCAAGACCGGTCTCTGCAAGCCAGGACCCTCCACTGCATCCAGGATCACCAGGACTGAGTGCTGGAAGAGCAAACACAACCACCACCAGGCTCATGAGAACTGTAAAAACTGATTTCCACCATCCATTAGCAATTTTTCCATCCCTATAATTTCCCCAGGAGTGCCACCAAGGATGTTCCCCAGCAGAGAGCTCCTGGACCTGTCACTGCCCTCTGAGCCCTTCAGCTTGGTTTATCTTCCTCAAAAAAAACCAGGATACAACCCTCAAACTGTTCTGTTCTGCAACCAAATATAACCTTTGCATGAAATCCACTATTTCTCTTCTAATCAGGCAGAGCCATTATCTTCCCCCACCATGTTTATTTAGCCAATTACATAGTTTCATGTACATTGATTCAGATTCTTAATTTTTACAGTTTTGATTATGATCAAACGCCGGAGAGTGACGCATTCCTTATTTGCTCTGTGCTCTTTCTGCCTTCCTGACGTGCCAGGCTGGATGTGAATGGAAATTGGAAGGCAATTAAAGAAGTGCAAAAGCAGCATTTTAAAATCTCTATTTATTAGTTAAACACAGCTACCTTCAGTGCCTTGGCTACAGCAGGGTGGGGGGAAAAAAAACCCAAAAAGCAACAAAATTGAGCTTATCCAGACACGTTTTGCATCTCAAATGGAGGTGATACATGAAAGAAATATTAAGCACGGTGAACTGACAAATTAAGTGGCTTGTTTCTGACAAGTAGGAGCAAAGTGGTGGCAGTGGTTGAGGAGCTAGGTGGGAATTGAAAGCCAGAAGGGAAAAAAAGACCCAGTGTGGCATCTCTGAGTGCTGGGAAGGGAGGTGATACTGCTCAGCCCCTGGATGTGATTTCTCCTAGACCCTCTGGAGAGCTGTCTACACCAATATCTATGCTGCTATGGGTTGTGTTGCCATCAGGAGAGCTTCCATGACCTATACTGCTATGGGCTGTGTTGCCATCAGGAGAGCTTCCATGAGATGTTAAAACCGATGAATCATAGAAACATTAAGGTTGGAAAAGACCTCCCAGATCATCAAGTCCAATCTCCAACCAAATACCTCCAGCACACTAAACAATATCACCAAGTGCCACATCTATTCATTTTTTAACACCTCCAGGGATGGTGACTCCACCACTTCCCTGGGAAGGCTGTTCCAGTGCTTAACCACTCTTTAAGGTTGTTCCAGTGCTTAACCACTCTTTCAGTGAAGAAAATTTTCCGAATATCCAACTTGAACCTTCCCTGGTGCAACTTGAGGCCATTTTCCCTTGGCCTATTGGTAATTGCCTGGGAGAAGAGAACAATCCCCACCTCATAAAGACATGTTCTGTCCTCTCTCACTCATTTCCTCACCCCCGAATATCCAACTTGAACCTTCCCTGGTGCAACTTGAGGCCATTTTCCCTTGGCCTATTGGTAATTGCCTGGGAGAAGAGGACAACCCCCACCTCATAAAGACATGTTCTGTCCTCTCTCACTCATTTCCTCACCCCTTCTGCACCTAATCCAAGCTGGCCACCAGCAAGCTCTTAGTAGAGCAAATCCTGGAGGCACCAACCTCAACCACTCTACAACCAGTTGTGTAGACAGAGAGCTGCCCCCAAGCTGCAGAGCCTCATTTCCAAGCAGACAAACCAGGGCTCAACTCCAGCCCAAGGCCCAG